GTATTTCCGAAATATAACCCTATTGGTGATGATGATGATGGTTTCACAAATAGGTCGCTCTCTCGTGAGGTTGGTGTACCACGAAGCTTCATTTCGTTTGTGTTTGGATTGTTGTAGAACAGCGGATTCTGAAGAATTGAAGCGGTTGTATTTTTTGCGCCTTTTTCAAGAGTTGTAAAGGATGATGAATGTAGGTCTTCCTTGATGTTGTTGGTTTTTGGAGAAGTGGAGTTCATGGATGGACGAGGTGAGGAAAGATTAGAATAGGGAAGAGAACGACGAGATTTTCTTGTGATGGAGGATGAAGAATCACCACTAAAAGGACTCAATTGTTTTTGATCTCTAATGAGAGAAAAGTGTCCAGGTGAATGATTAATGGCTAACTCTTCGGAAGGTCTTTCGGCGTCATCCATTGGTGCATTAAGCTGAGCTCTCAAGGATGGAATTTTAATGGACGATTGCTCTCGAGCAGTCGACCTGGTTGGAGAAGAGGCAAATATTCGAGTAAAGCCATTCCTTCCTTCAATGTACATGAGCGTTCTGCTTGGGGTCTCGTCCTCTCCTCCTTGCGAAGCTGGGAATAAAGGATCATTCCAATCATCGTCTGCTTGCATTTTTATTGGGATCGAGCCCTTAAAAAATACCGCAAGATGAACATCAGAATTGACTCTTGCATGCTCCACGGCCTGGAAAGACGTTTGGAAAGAATTGAACAACAAGCGAATTAGATTTCAGCTACCCTCAAACAATTAAACGCCAAACTTAATGAATATATACGAAATGAAAAGAACAGAAATTGTGAAGAAAAGGCACGGAAGCCATTAGATCATTCGCATCACTTGTTACAATCTTTACAACATCATCTATGTGACGCAATCACCTTTAGAGAAAATCCATCAGTTGAGAAAACTAACGATCCACCAGTTGAGAAAGATGAGAATACATTATCAACATTGAATCAACCAACTCCATCAAAACAAGAAAAAGAATACAAGCCAAAGAACAAACCTCGCAAAACAAGAAGGACCACACAAGCTAAAAAACAATCATCCACCGACAAAGCCAAGCCAAAAAGAAAAACAAAGCAAAAGAACAAACTTCACAATCATACTAATCATGGACAAAAAGGCAAGATACTATATTTGTATTATGATGATCAGTGCTATCAACAATTCGATAAGAAACGTGTAATGAATGTAAGAACAAGAAAGAAGCATCTCACCTTATACTGGATCCAAGACTGCTCTCCGCCCTTCAACATTATTAATTGTTGTGACTTAGAACTTTGAAGACAATGCTGGTAATCGATACATATCATTATTAACATATCATATCCATCAACACTATATATACCTATTCATGACCTTTTTACAATAATTGACGACTCAACCTTACAAACCAACGAAACCATATGCATTAACAGACAAAACACTGCTTTATTTTTGCCTTCTGTTTGAATCATGGACTCAACCCATGTTAACAGTTGCTCCACACAAGCATGTAATCTGTTAATATTTGATATATCCTGTTAAAAACATTCGACATTCAGAAGTAGTATCTAAACGAAAATGAAGTCCAATGTTGTTTTATGACAAGTATTGAGGCACCGAAGGGCCAATAAACAATATTTAATTTTTATTGGGATCCATAGAGAGGATCTTTCTATCGGAGGGTGTGGCCACCATGGTTCTTGTGTTTTGCGAGGGTCAAAAGAGAATGCCAAATAATTCTATTTTCGTTGGAGAACAGGTTCAACAATTCAAATATGTGAGAATTGTTTATTGATGAATGATGAAGGAAGGAGATTCCGACAAGTCGCTTTACGATACTCGTTCTCTCTTGTGAGTAAAAACAGTAGTACCAATAATTTCGTTTAAAGAATCCAAATCCATATCGTCCCTATTAGCTTTGTTATCTTGATGGTTAGGAATGTCGGCAGAATAAACATTGGGAATTTCGGTATCTGTCAACATGTAGCTGTTAATAAACTTTGGAACAGAGCCAGCCAATCCTTTGCAATCATCACTTTCGTCCATGAAAAATTGTGGTTGTTTTAAAGCTGACCTTTTTGGAGAGGTTTGTTTCAGTGGTTTGTTAGGAGAAGAATAGATACTTGGTGAATGATGAAAGCATGATGATAAATTGGAGGTGGCAGAAGACAATCTTCGATGTGTCGTCGTCGATGATGATGATGATGACGTTTGACCAACAGCACCTATCGTTGTTGTTGAAGAGTGAAGAAAAGATGAACTGGGAGAATGATTGAAAACGGGAGTGGTTGCAGAGCTTGTTCCTCTCTTTTGTCTGTTTTGAAGATTGAATTGAATTTTTGGTCCCAATGAATACATGGGTGTTTGAGTGGTGGTGGTGGGTGATGAGGAAGAAGAGGATGTGGAATCACTCGAAGTTCGAGATGAAACCATTGATATGGTGGTGGCAGTGGTGGTGACGGTGTTTTGGGAAAGATCATCTGTTGAAACCGAAGGGGAAGAAGATTGATTCATCATGGTTCGTTGATGATGATGATGGTGATGTTTGTGTTGCACATTAATACTAGCCGAGTAGTGTTCATGACTGCTGTTCGTTCTTCTCTGACTCATAAACTTCTCCTTTCTCTCATTGAAAACATCAGCCTTCAAACAAACACAAAATTTGGGTACAGTAACTATTGGAGTGGATCGGGTACCCGATAAAGACGATGAAGAAGAGAAGGTCATCATTCCATGGTGATCACCATTCGTGGTTGGCCTTCTCAAGGAATTTGAGCCCAATGAGACTTGAACCGTTTCATCATCATCCTCATTACTGAGACTGGCAATATGTCCAACCTTGCCATGAAGCATGGGATCAATCACTTGCAAAATCTCAAATTCCTCTGGAACAATGATGAGAACAAGATCATCCTGTTGCAAAAGATGTTTGTTGAGCTTGTGGTGAACAAACTCAATACGTTGTTTGTTGTCTTCATTCGTTGTGGTGGAGGTGGTGGACGTCGTCGTCGTTGTTTGAAGGTTCTCTGATGCTGAAGGCTTGTAATTGATGAGACCTTTGAACTGTTGGTGTTTCATCATTGCTATGGAGATGTTTGTAATAACAACTACTACTACTACGACTTCACTACTAGAATATGACCCTAATATCGACAACAACAATAACTACTATCACTGCAAAGTACTTTGCTTCAATCCTGTCGTTTGTGGTGTTGTTGAAGAATCCTCGATCGAGAATGAAGGAACGAAAACGGTACACAGCAATCCAAGTAAGTTAAGGCTTGACTTCAAGGCTTGATTCTGAAAACGATGCACACTCTCTGTTGGGTGTATTTTCCCCCTCGTTGATTTCGCTCGTTTTGTATGCAGAAGAGTGAGTGGTAGTGGTAGTGCGTGACTATTGTTTACCCTCCAGAGAACAAGTGACTTGTTTTTTTTACGTACGAAATTCTTTTAAATGCAAACACAGCATTTTGAAGGCAAGCGTGAAGATCAGCGTTTGCGCTGTTGTATGGACATTTGGCACGTGACAGAGGAAGAGAAAATGAAAAAATGAGGGTTTTCCCAAATAAGCGAGGGATGAAAGTTCTAAAAAGATAACAACCACATTCTTCACGAAGTGAAATTTTAGGCACGAACGAATGACCGTACAGTGTCTTATTATTCATTGCTCTTTTAACACAAAGAACACAGACCTCCACCAACCAACTAACCAATGGATAGGTCTTGGAAGAAAACGAGACACACGACACTCTCCTTTTGAGTATCAGAACCTTGCCTGAATAATAGATTCTCATTCGATGAGTGCCTTTTCCATTTCTTGTGATGGGTCTAAAGAACTATTATGGAAAACATGAAGGCTTGCCAAACAAATCTGAAAAACATTCACAATTATTATTGTACGAACTCTTCATTCAAGAAAAACGATGAAGCGTCTAGGATGACGAAGATGGCTGAATATGATTTACAGTTTCTAATAGTAAAGTACGTGTAAATGATGATTCTTTTTATGTTGAAGTGAATGGCAATCTCACTCTACGGTCACAAACCAATCAAAATTAACTTCATGTTGAGGTTATCAAAACAACTACAGTTCTTACATCGAATACAAGTAGATGATTCATTAAGTTGCTGTAATCTAGTCTAGTAGAGCCAATCGGGCTTTTTATCATCTCTAAACGTAACCAAATCCGTGTCAAATAATTCAATAAATTGCTCATTTTGTAATCTCACTTTAGAACCAGCATATCTTCGGTATTCATCCAGAATACTGGTCAAATTCCATCGCTGAATCTTTCGGAGACATCCAACAACAGTACCAGTTCTGTGTCGTCCTAAATTACACATGATTGCTAATGGAAGATTGTCTCTATTTAAAATTACCTCCAAAGCTTCTACAACAATTTCTTCCGAAATTAAACCTAATTGAGCCATTCCAGTATGTGATATCGAATTACCGCTTTTCATTTTCGTTGATTGCGTTAAATGAATTAAATTTATATTCTGATCTTTAGCAAAATTTGCAAATTCTTGTGTAGGCTGATCTGGAGCTAAATAAATAATAGTTTTTAAATTAAGTGTCGCTAGATGAGGAAAATTAACTGATGTTGGTTGGCCAGATCGGAATACATTCTCCTGAACATAACCAAAGTTGATGGGAGGGACAAGAATTGTCATTTTTTTTTATTGCTGGAATTAGTCATCGAGTGAGTGTTTTGGACGATTTCGTTATCCCATTATTGAATTCAGATCTTTACTTCTTCTTTGTTTAAATGAATGAAGAAATTGATTCCTTAATTTCAATTCTTCTTCATAAAAGTTTTTATAAAGAAAAAGGATTTGAAATTCAAAAAAAATGCAACGATCAAGTGGAGCGATCATTTCTCAGCTTAAACAATTTTTAATTCCTCCTTTGAGTCATCATGCCCATAAAGGTCAAGCAGGAAGAATTGCGGTTATCGGAGGAAGTGAAGAATATACTGGAGCTCCTTATTATTCAGCAATATCTGCGTTGAAATGTGGAGCTGATTTGTCTTTTGTAATTTGCTCGAAATTGGCCAGTGTGATTAAATCCTATTCTCCAGAGTTGATTGTGTACCCATTCATGTATGAAAAATCAAGTGTAGATTATGGAACGATCAGTGAAACTCCTCGGTTATTTTCTCAAGATGATGAATTTAAACAATTCATGAAAAACACTTACGAAAGTATATTTAGAAGAATTAATAGTGTGGTGTTGGGTCCCGGCTTAGGAAGATCGAAAGAAATTCTTCAACAAGCTGAATGGTTTATTAGTTATTGCAACGAGCTAAATATGCCATTAGTACTAGATGGAGATGGTCTGTTTTTAATTGGAGAAAAGCCTGAATTGATTCAAGGACAGCAAAACGTTATTCTTACTCCAAATCCTGCGGAATTTCAGAGATTATTTTCAAAGGTAATTGATTATTACAATAAGAGTTCCACAGAAAAAGTTTCATCGTCTCAATTTAAGACAGAGCTTGAAGAGTTGACCTTTGTTTCCAAAGCGCTTGGTAACGTTTGTATTGTAAGAAAAGGGCTTGTTGATATTATTTCCATTGGAGATCATTATGTAGAATGTGAAATATTGTCTCCATCTCCAAGAAGGTGTGGCGGACAGGGAGATGTTTTAACTGGATTAATCGCAACCTTCTCCTATTGGGCTAATTGGGAAAGAAAAGAGGTTTCCACCAAGTTAAGTCACGAGGAGAAGATCTTGGCTGCATGTTATGGTAGTTGTTTGGTTCAAAAAAAGGCAGCTCAGCTAGCTTTTGCACAACACCATCGATCCACGACTACTCCAAATATAATTGATAAAATTGGAGAGGCATTCTCTGAGGCATTCAAGGAAGATAACTAACCAATCGTGTCTTTTCGTTGTAAATAAATAGTGTCATAATTTATTGTAAGAAAGAAGGATTTAGCCCATTACTTTGCATATATTCGTAGAGACGTTGTGCACTGGTTGGATTGGAGCGAATCAGGGAAGTGACAAATTGAACTTGCTGAGGGTCAAGTTGTGACACAAAGTTGCTAATGTTGTGAGCAAGATACTGCTTACTGTTCTGAACTTCTTTTACAGGATCTTCAATTCCCATGGCAGCAAAGCTGAGTTTTGTGAAAGTTACCTTATATCCACCTGTCAAGCCTCTCTCTGTGTGGAGAACCGTTTCATCATCATCAAAAACTTCTTCTTCTTCCTCTGCCTTGTCAACTCCTTCCAAGAAAGAAACAAGTTCATCCAGCAACATCTTCCAAGTATCTGCAGCAGTTTGAATTAAATCAGAATTCTGGAACAAGATTTGGGTCAAAGCCACAGCACACACCTTCTTTTCAATTTTGCCAGAGATGGTCTTTAAAGAGCTTTCCCAAACTACCTTTGCAAGTGAAGAGAAAATACCTTGCTGAATTTGGTTCATTGTTTGAAATAACGCTTTTGCACCGTATTTCACCACAAAGTTGGAGAAGAAAATAATGAGACATCTCACAAATTGTCCAGTCTTTTTCTTTTGAAGTCTAGTGAACAATATTTTAAAAATTTCAACCATATATACGCTTAATTGATCATAGGGAACAGTTGAAATTAAGCTGTCTAAAATTCTAAATCCATGATAATCTTTAGTTTTAGACATGACCAATGATTGGAAAAGTCCTAAAACCTGTTGCAATTGATTGTTCTTGGCAAGTTCTTGTGGAGCCTTTGTAATAAAAGTAGCAACATAGGCAACAAGTCCTGGAATATTTCCTTCACTTTCCCACAAATGTGCACTTAAAAAGTTGGGGAATAGGCCCACGTAAGTTTGTGGAAGTGGAGGTTGTCTAATAGATAAAAGTTGAGAAATCAATTGGAAAACATAGGGTGTAAATTCCTCAATACCACTTGTGAGAATAGTTTGGAAAGGTGGGAATAGAGAAGCTTCAAATTCTGAGATGTAGTCTCTGTTGAATTTGATAACAGTAGCATAGGACTCGAATAGGTAATGATTGAACTTGGGGTTACTTGGATTCTTGCAAACCTGTCCTAACACTTCTGTAATCTTGGAAATGTATGCAGGCATAATTGGTTTCATTTGCTCTTTTAGCACAGCAGTAGATCTCATAATAGCTTTCATGACATATTCATTTTCTTCAGTATTGTCAAGAGCATGGAATAATCCTTGTAATAATTTCTCAGCAAATGGAAAAACATCTTGTTGAGTAAATCTTGGTTTACCATTCTCTTCTCTAACCACTAACAGTCTTTCAATGCACCAAGCGGCATATGTTTGGACAACTGGTTCATATGAGTATAAAAGTTGTATTGTCAATGGGAATATAACAGGGAAGGAGTCTTTTGGAAGATGCTGTCTGAAGGTACAAATAAATTTGATAGAATCAGCTTGAATGATGGGATGAGAACTGGCCTGTAATTGAGGAATTATTTGAGTGGATAAAAAGTTCATAACATCAACATATTGACTAACAAGAGTGGCACCCTTTCTTTGAATAGAGGCCTTGACAGAAATGCATGTGACCAAGAAAATGGCAGCATCTCTACTCTTCCAATCGTTTTTTTGTAAAAGAGTTTGGATCTTTTGAATAAAATTGTCGGCAATCTCCTTTTCATAGTATATGCTAAGGCATTTGATTAGTTCTTGAGCAGACCTTCTTCTTGATTCTGTGTCAGAACCCTCAATATCTCTTCTAATGTATTCGATAGGTTCTTCTGCAAAAATAATTTCATCTTCTTCACGAAGAGAAATGTTTGGGATAATAATGTTGTCACAGATTTGTGGCAAAGCATCCTTAAAGATGCCATATTTTTCACTTCTACTGACCAAGGTCAGAAATTCAATGGACTTTGAAACAACAGCATCATACTTCATCTTTGAATCCAACTTGGAGAGAAGTTGCCAAACGCTTGTTGCAAATATCTCCACATATGGAAGGAATATTTCGTCATACTTTTCCAAGTAAAGATTGATGGATTGGCAAACTAGTCTTTTTGCCTCATCTAATAATCCTGGCTCTTCAATTAAATTATTGTCTAAGGCAGGATTGTCATAATTTAAAATTGTGTTAAACATGGAGCTGTATTCTGCAACATGCTCTTCGAAATATTCGGGAATGTCAACCCAGTTCAATGAGTAAAATATTTCGAGTAGCAAATTAATGCAGGTGAAAATTAGTTTCAAGTCGTTGGCATTTGTAGTTTGAGAAAGAGATGAGACAAATCCTTGGAAGGTATGGAACATTGGATCAGCAAACTCTTTCATAATGTAAATCAATTCATCTTCTATTTCATCAGTCTTGGATTGTTCTCTGTACTTTTTGAAGAGTGAATGACAAGTAAAAAGAACACCTCTAACAGTTTCGAAATTTGAAGAATTTGTTCTTAATTGATTCACCAAATACTAAATACAAAATATTATGAATTCAAAGGTTAAAACAACATCAAGCTTAATTAGGAACGACTTACCGGAAGCAAGCTTGTCCAATTTTTGTAAAAATCAAATTCACTAATAATTGTGATGATTTCGGAAAGTACGTCTTGTATCTTGGTGTCAGAAGTTGAAAATAATAACTCTACAACTCCCTGTTTAATCAACTCTTTATCTTCAGGACGCAATATCAAATTAACATCCCAATCCTTCTTTACCAAATTCTTCAAAAACACAACAACCATCAAACGATGTTCACTTCTCATACTAGCATCTGAAATATATCTCAAGAGTAGAGCAACATAAAAAGGTTGTCGTTCCATCTCCTTCAAATCTTGCTCCGCTATATTATTCCGATATTCATATTCATCCAATATAAATATTACCATTCCGAACATCAACAACAAATGTTTGAACATGAATTGAGTCATTTTCATTTGCTACTATAACATTATATTCAGCTTACCTTTTATTCTCACGGATGCTTCGTGTGTCATTGTGTTTTGAATGAGTGTGGTCAAGATGCCCAAGTTGGGCTCTGTGGTGGACGTCTGCATTTTTTTAAGTTTTTTCATTGTCCTCCTTCAACCACGAGAAGGCTCTCTTCAAAAAAAGGCGCCAAGGAATTCCTCTCGAGAGAACAACTCGTTATTTATATTGGTTGAGAAAAGTGTTTGTTTGTTGAATTTTTATGTTATGTACATTCAAGTGTTTAATCTTGTTTAGTGGAAACCCAACTGTATATTATTTACATTTGTTAAATTGTGGCTTGGAAATGCTGGGTGTCCTTCATTCGGTATGAACTTGAGGGTTGCCATTCGTCATCATGCTTTGTCTCACCTTATTCTCCAAAATGGAATCAAATTCATTCTTATTTCTAATATCAGGAGGGGTATAAGCAACCTTCTTTCTTAAATATCTCTTTCGTGCATTAATGAACCAATTGTTGAGTTGTTTCTTATCATAGTCAAGTTCTTTCATAAAAATCTCTTTTTGTCTTTCAGTCGGATAGGGATTGTTCTTGTTGAGCATGAGAAATTCTTTAAGTATTTCTTTCTTTCCTTGAGAGTTGTTCTTCTTACGTTTTTTGCTTTGAATCCATTCTTGAAGTTGTTGAAGTTCCAACGCCTCATTGCTCAAGAGTTCATTTTGGCATTGAGAGTCCTCTTCGAATTCTTCAGAGAATTTTCTCTTCTTGAGCTGAGAGCCACTTTCCATGGCGATACACTCAATATCACGTATCAAATTATTGGAGAGAATGTCAAGAGATTGATCTATTTGATGTAAGAGTTGATTCATCCATTCATTATTAAAGGATGATGTGGATACCGATTGGGAAGGTAGGGTCACGTTTCCGACTAAAGAAGCAAGATTGGCTGCTGTAGAGGGATCAAATACACTTGTTTGAGCGTTGCATGGAGTATTGATACTTCCAGTGGTCATTTGGTTCGAGGTTAGTGAGTTATTGGGTTGAGATGAAGTCGTAAAGAATGGATTACCAGCTTGCTGACACAAGGAGATATTTGGGTTATTATTTAAAAAGTATTGAAGAGGATTATTGGTAAAGTTGGTAAGAAGAGAACTCATGGTGATGATGGGTTGACAAGGGTTGCTGTTGTTGCTGGAAGTGACAAAAAGTTGATAAATGATTCAACAAGTGAAGGACTGTTCAACAAGCTAGGGTTGATGGAAAGAAGTGCGTGACGATGAAACAAATATAAGAGATAAATAGAAGGCAGTAGTTGTGGTGGTGATGCGCACAGTGATGTGAAGCTCTATTCAACGGTAGCTACAACGATAGATGTTGACAGCAGTCAGCAGTATCAATGGTTGTCGTGCTCTTTTTTCTATTGAGTTTTACGAGAGAGTTTTCAAAAAGTGACAGCTTTTGAAGTTTCTGTGATTTATTGCTCTCAACGAGCTTTGAGAGTATTTCGACTATGAGTTTCATATTCGAGTCGTTGTGGTTGTAAATATCACTTGATGCTGCTACTCTGATTTACATTTTATGTATTGTTAATACTCTTTTCTTAACCGAAGCCACCCGTCGACAACCGCAACGAACGTTCCGTAAAAAAACATTAATGCTCATCAAAAGACATGGGAGCGATAACATATATTACCATGGATTGAGCTTGAATGAAGGATTAAAACAGTTTGTAGTTACAGAATGGGTGATAGAGGGGAACGGGAATGCCGAATTTCATTTTCTGTAATGATGGTTAAAATGTACTCTCGATGGCATTTGAAATGTCCAACTGAGGGAACATCAAAATACCTCATCGTTTGAATGGTACATTAACTTTGAAGAGCAGTAATTCAAATCAAAGTGTTGACCACAATATGATATCAATGAAATTATTTGATTTTGTATAATAGGACAGAGGAAAACTATTATTAGAGTCGGATTTGAATATTCATGGATGTCTTGTTGTCGTAATAGACTCCATCAGAAATGAGTGGATTAGATTCATCGACCGTTTTACTCTCGGGATGGACTTCTTCTTCAAGAACAGAATAAGCATCTTTCCTTCGGAATCTCAAAAATTTAAACTTGGTGCTAAGGGTTGCCCAAACATCAGCCCATACGGATGGCTGTTTTTTCAGTTCTGCATAATACTTTTGATTGTTTTTCCTGTACAAGATGTAGTGTTGAACTATAAATACGATGTCAAATCCAATGGATAAAAATCCAAGTCCAGTTTTTACAAAGTCACCATAGAATGGGCTCCAGTCACCTGTGTTGATTCCATCAATTACCATTTGAAATATTGAGAGAACTCCACCAGAAAAGTCTAATAAGATGTTGCCAATACTCCAACCAACTGTTAGCTTTCTCTTCCAGTTGATGAATGCTTGCGGCACATACTATATTCATCATAGTTTCATGTCATTGCTTAAATTATGAACTTTAAATTCTAAAATTCATACCTTAATAGTCGTAATAGTCCTTAAGAAATAAAAATTATAATAATGATGAATACAAGTTCTAAACCTACAATTTCACAATTCCTAAATATTTCAAAAAATCCACCCACATGATTCTATGGCCAAGAGCCAAAAATACAGCCACACAAATCGACAGCATGATTGTGAGTGCTATAGACCTAGCCAAAACTGAAAGAGTTTGACCTCCTCGTTCATAAATTAAGGTTTGAAAAATAGTGATCGCTGTCAATGTCACTGCATGAATACTAAAGACAACATCATTAATTTGCACATCCGCTTTTCCATGATAAATTCGGTATTGTTGTTCCAATTCAGGATTCCAAAACAGAACGCTGTTAAAAACCATGTATGATGAGTGACCAATAATGTTCAACATTAAAAAATCAAAACTCAATCCAACAACACTCTTTGTCCACCAGTTCAGAAAAACTTTAATGAGTTGAGTGAAATGATTCATCCTATCATTAATTCATGCTACATACCCTGTGGATAAAAAGATAGAGACCATGCTGCAAAATAGGACCATCCCACCTACGAACATGTCATGATCGCCACAGTTCAGTAATAATTTTCACAATCCCACATGAACAATCAATGATGAAATCACACAATCATTCATCGGAATAAAATATCATCATCAAAAACGTTTTTCATTTCAAAAATTTAGGAAAATCCATTATCATGTACAACCTTTGATCGAACAACACATATTCATCGAATTCGGAGAGAAACATACCACTTTGCTGAATATTGAGAGACCTTCCGATAAGACTTTATGTTCTGCCATTTTTTTGAAAAGATTTTTGTTTAGAACAATAGAAGTGTCGAATGGAATTTCAAAAACAAGATTTGGATTCTTTCCAACCACTCCAATGATGAATTGCATGGAATTGCCCTCTTCAATCGTTGTTGAACAATGAAACTCTCTCAATGCCATTTATTTCCCTTCTCATCGATTCAGAGTCAAGGATGAAGAACGTTTTAGGAATTTCAAGAAAAATGCTCAACAACAACTCGCAAAGAAGACTCTTTTCCATCCGAGATCATTTGCTTTCCTCTCGTGTTCATCAATTAGCAAATGCCATTTCTTCAAGCACCAACAATAGTACCAATGAACATGCTTCAAATATTGTTTCTGTTAGTGGTGGCCAATCATCAGCCTCGAAGAATTCTTGGGATGATTATTTGGTAAAGGCTAAAATTCATCCCGATGTAAAGGATGCTCTTGCTCAAAATAAGCCTGTTGTAGCACTTGAGTCAACCATTATTAGCCATGGAATGCCATATCCAAAGAACGTAGAAACAGCCAAACAAGTTGAAGATCAAATTAGAAAGAACGGAGCAATCCCAGCCACCATTTGTATTTTGGATGGAATAATTCATGTAGGAATTAACGAGCAAGAATTAGATCGATTTGGTAAATTAGGACAAGAAAAGAAGATAACTAAATGCTCCAGACGAGATGTCGCTCTTGTATGCAGTCAAAAATCTCATGGAGCAACAACAGTCAGTGCAACCATGTTGTTAGCACACAGATTCGGTATTCATGTGTTTGTGACTGGTGGTATTGGCGGTGTTCATCGCGTACTATCGACTAACGAGGTTGATCCAATGGATATTAGCACAGACTTGACAGAATTAGGTATGTTTTGTTCGAAATTAGGAATAATGAACTCTGAAATACTTTCAATTTTTGTTAGGTCGAACTCCAACATGTGTTGTCTCAGCTGGAGTGAAATCAATATTAGATATTCCAAGAACTCTTGAATACTTGGAAACACAAGGAGTTACAGTAGCCTCATATCAAACGGATGAATTTCCTGCATTTTTTACCTCGAAAAGTGGATGCAAGTCACAATGTAGATTAGATTCTCCTTTAGAGTGTGCGAAATTAGTTAGTGCTAACCTTCAACTTGGTCTTAATTCTGGTGTACTGATTGCAGTACCAATTCCTGAACGTTTGGAAGCAAAGTCTGCTCAGTTAAACAAGGCGATAGAACAAGGCCTTTTGGAAGCAAAACAAAAAAACATCAAAGGAAAAGACGTGACTCCATTCTTATTGCAGCGTATCAACGAACTTACACAAGGTGACAGCCTTAGAGCCAATATTGAATTGATATTGAACAATGCTCGTGTTGGTGCACAAATTGCTGTTGAACTAAGCAAGATTCAGCAAATGAACGTAAGTATTTAAAGATATTTATACATGAACACTTTATTTTAATAGAACATGTAAATTTATCACAACAAAGAATAAATATTGGAGTGGCTTATCTAGTCATGCTGTAGTAGATCTAGATGATACGAACGAAAGACATCCAAGTGACCACAAATCGTCATTACTTTCTCGTGTATCTTCTGTTTTGTCATCACCCAAAAGAGAAATCATAGCGATTGGTGGTTCTGTCATGGACGTAACATGTACACCTATGGAAGGTGCTAAACTGATTCTAAAAACATCTAATCCTGGAAAAATTACTCTCAGTAATGGAGGTGTAGCTCGTAATGTTTGTGAAGTGATCTCTCGTTTACTATCCTCAAGCTTGGACGCGAAACATCTTCCTCTAAATTTTATAACATCGGTTGGATTGGATGCCTTTGGACATTCTCTGAAAGAACACATTAGAAAAGATTTGAGAGTTCAACAACCTGAAAAAACCATTCTGCTCAACAGAAATAATAGAACTGCCATTTACAATTGCCTTATGGATGACACTGGCGAACTGGTGGCAGCTGTTGCAGATATGTCTATTTTGACAGACGTCAACACCACAAAGCATATTACGAATACCCTATCACACATGATTAAGGAAAAACGAGCTCCATTAATATTTTTAGATAGTAATTCATCGGTAGAGGCCATGAATAATATTGGAAGAATTATTGAAAATACACAAGCAGAATTGTATTTGGATCCTACATCCGTTCCAAAATCAAAACATGCTGTACTTGCTGGTCTCTTACCACTCGTCACTTTTATCAAGCCAAACGAACACGAAATATTCAGTATTGTGGAATGTTTTTTAGGAAGGACAATTAATAAGAATGAAATAAGTGTTGAAGAGTGCCTTCAAATTTTGCTCACAAAAGCAAAAGTAAGCCATGTTCTTTTAACTCAAGTAAGTATGATCACATGGACATGCAACTTGTTAATACTTTCTTAGGGACCACAAGGTGTTAAACATGCCACCCTTATAAACGGGAGAGTGACCATACAATCCTATGCTGCTCTTCCGAAACGCCCTCATTTGTCTGAACCTAACGCCAATGTGACTGGTTGTGGCGATAATTTTAGTGGTGCGTTCATATTCTCAAGGTTTTGTGGAGATTCCATTGAGACATCAATCAAGAAAGGTTTAAGAGCATCCAGACTTGCTTTAGAGAGCTCTAAAAGCGTGTCTGATCGTTTGAATGCTCAATCGATTGAAAATGATTAACACAAGTATAAATATACCAAACATCCATCATTTCGCGTTGTTTTTAGTATATTCAAATGAGTTTCAAATTATTAACAGTTGTGTGTGGAAGAGATGTGTGAGGTTAAAGCCTATTTGTTGTGATGATTGTGTCGTACGTTATGCTTTCTGGACCTAGGTGAGAGCATCTCATTGAGTTTAGGAGATGTTCAAAATTCATCGTATTTATCGAGAAGTCATTCCAAAGCTTGTCAAAGTTAACATTTTTCAAGCTCACTTCTGAAACGAAGATGAAACCATGGTTCTGAGTTTTGAGCTCGAACACATGCAGGATTCTTGGCAAATCTTCCTTCCTTTCTCACTACGAGAGGTGAAATTCCTGCAGTACCGTGAATGATGTGTCCATACGTTGATTTTTCACTCACAATCAAATCATCAGAACCCATCATCAAGTACAAATCAATTAAAGCATGTTGAACTGCTTCTACTGAACGAGATTTTGGAATATTTTGAGGAAGATAGACCAAATGAATGGTGAGTCCAGGAACTTGAAGCTCCTCAAAGAATTGTTTTGCTTCATCAAATGCAGGCGTGTAATCACTGGTGAGAAATACAATCACTTTCTTATACTTTTCAAAAGTACTAATCTCAGTAATACGTTGCTTGGCACACTCCCAATAAATATTCACAGGAGTGTTGTGAAATAAATATTCTTGTTCATTCTTTCTGATTTGAATGCCTAATAAAAATGTTGATTCTGGATGATTGGTCTTGTCTTTGAGCATGGTGGTTCGAAAGTGATCTACTTTCTGTTGTATCAAATCAATGGGTTCGAATAAAAGTGGAGCTAATTTGCTGAAAATATTAATTTGATAAAGTTTAGGACGCAACTCCCAATCCTTATCTTTGGTTTCTAATTTTGAAAATAATTGATAATATACATCATTGTCAGCATACAGCGTTGGAGCAAAATACTGTGCTGCTTCAATTTCAATAAAGTCTTTGGAATTGATTTGATTAAATTTTTCATTTTCTTTGTGATAAATACTTGTTGGTAATATTTGAGCAAAACCTTTACAACATTTGAAATAACGATAACCTGGTTTTGAACGATCGTGATAGACGGTACTTTCTAAATGCAGCCAATTTTTTTCAATAAATGTCCATCGATCGAGTGGACATCCTTTTTCAATGGATTTTTGTTTCACTTGTCCATAATTCCAAAAGAGTTCATGAGACAAGAATGTTGGATTTTTCAATAGTTGTGACAGTGAGGCATGACATCCCACTTCTCCTCCTTCCCAATTCACTAATAATACTCTATTACTTAGTAAGGCATATAATAATGTAGAAAATAGACCCATAATGATATTTCCATATCCACTATACATGTGTGCTTTAAAAACAACAAATTGTGGAGTTTTTAAAAACAACTCTCCATTCAATGCTACATTCTGTGAAAAACAATTCGGTGTGAATACATAGGATGAGAGTACTGAGTCATGATATTGTTGATATCGATACAACATGCGTTCAAAGGCAATCGGAGGAGGTCCATTCCTCGAGTGTTCAACGACTTGTGCAACATTTAATGTTTCATTGAAATAACTCGGTATAAAAACTTTGTGAAGTGTTGAATTGGAAGAAAGACCCGATCGTCTAATCACAACATAGTAGACGACGATCATGAATTGAAACAATACAAGAGCAATACATCCAATCCGATACAGGAAGACTACTTTCATTTTTTTGTTTGACAGAAGAAGCAATGTGTTGGATGTGGTGAGGTGACGCGTCTATTCGTCAACCACAGATGCAAGACATTTTCAAGAAGTTACGTGTATCGAGATGATGTACCTAGATTATTGAGAGACAATTGGATGCATGATAAATGACCACGTGAATAACAATTTACTCCAATACAATGATGAGCAGTCATAGGTGTAGCAGTGTTGTACTCAATTTAATTTTCAATAATTTAGTGCTTTCCTGACCATTCTTCCTTCATGACTGTTCATTGTGATTAAATGTGTTCAATTTAAATTTTTCATCATCATGATGCCATGTGATTTATAAATCAATGAGTGCATTCATCCAATTCATTAATAATAATAATAAAATCGGAAAGAGTTTCATCATCTCTTTCTGAACCCCATCACCATCATAAAAAAACCTACATTGTACATATTGCTCTGTTGAAGGCTTGAAGTGTTTATAATAAAGTGGTTTAATAGCCCCATTAAAAAGCATATTAGCACCATAGAGTAATCCGAAAATTGAAATAGCAAGACCAATCTTTGATTTTCCTGTATCCAAGTCGAATCTGCCTGGACGGAAGAGTTTTGTTCTGTCAAAGTATTTGGGGGCTGGATTTGTCATTTTTTGCTTCTTATTGTCGATGCAAAGAGAGTTGCATCGGTGGTGTTGTTGTTGTTGTTGTTGATACAACGTGTTGTTCCTCTTCATCATCATCCTCCTTGTCTCTAAATTCCATCCTTCTATCCTTTTGAATTACTCAATATTATTTGGGTGGTCCAATCAACATCAAGTTCAGCCTTAAAAAGGCTTCATTCATTCACTTTCGTTCGACACCAACAAAAAAAACGTTTATTCCATCATCAGCATGAGCTCGAATAACAATTCAACGGAGAATGTTAACAACACCACAACTTCTCCAAACACAGAGCAATCACAGCAACAACAACACTCCACTAATACTCATCACCTTCCATCCACAGAAAAAGTTGAGGAAATTCTAGATCAAATCAAGAATAAAACTGTTGAAGCCTATAAAGTAGCTGCTGAGAAGACAGAAGAGGCCTACAAAGTAGCTGCTGAGAAGACAGAAGAGGCCTACAAAGTAGCTGCTGAGAAGACAGAAGAGGCCTATCATTACTTAACTTCGGAAGAAGCAAAACAGAAATTACAACAGACCATGCAAACAACAACATCAACCCTCTCTAGTGCATATTCATGGCTTTCTAGTAATGTTTCCACATTGGTCGGAGAAGCCTACGAACAAGTTGAAAGTGCTTTAACAGGCAATCATCCTTCTTCATCGTCCGATAGTAGCACCACAAAAGAAGGAAGCAACGAAGAGAAAAAATAAGCATTAATATTATTTTTGGATTTATTGATCGTCATCAAATCCAATTCTATACAAGCACTCTTTATTCATAACTACTCTGTCCAACAAAATGGAAGGACAAGAAGCATTGCAAAATTCTAATGGCAACATTGATGTAAATAGAAAATTATATGCCCTCTATAAACAATTAAAAGCTGTTTCATCTCAATCTAGAGATTTCCATCATTCGGAATATTCCGATTTCAAATACTCGGATCTGAACAACTGGTTATGGTTTATCAAAGTCTTTCTCATATTGTTCAATGTTGGTCTCTTTATTTACATTCTCTATTTGATGAAAAGGAAATTTGCAAAAGAAACTATTTTGAAAATGATCAATAACAGTCAAACGACACAACTAGAGGAGGACAAAAACACCAACAGTATTCATTTAGAAGATGATTCCAAAAACGAGCACAATGCCCCTGAAAAAAGAGTTGGAATTATCATTTCACATCCAGACGATGAAGCCATGTTTTTCACACCAATCATTGTATCACTTGTTGAACAAAATATTCCAATTCATATCTTGTGTCTATCAACAGGAAATGTGTTAGGATTAGGGCAGGAAAGAATTCGAGAACTAGAAAGGAGCTGTATTGAATTAGGAGTTTGCAATTCCAACTCTGACTCTTCTCTCTCTCTTGTTAAATCTTTAAGTGACCTAATCAGATCTGAAAATAACAAAATTGTGATTGTAGATCATGATGAACTGAAAGATGGAATGAGACAAACGTGGAATACTGAATTGATTGCGCAACTTGTCTACAAGTTTGTTCAAAAATTTAACATTTCAACAATTCTCACATTTGATGAGAGAGGAATTTCTGATCATCCAAATCATATTGCCACTTGGAATGGTGTGAGAGAATTCAAAATAAGGTGTGAACGAGAAAAGTGTTTCAATCATGTGGATGTTTTTCAATTAGAGACGAGTAGTTTAATTCGGAAGTACCTTGGTGTGTTGGATTTGATTGTTAGTTTACACAAAAATAGTGATCACAATGTCACAATATTTACACCAAGTCCTCTTTTCGCTTGGAAAGCAATGCGTGCTCACCATTCTCAATTCGTATGGTTCCGAAAACTGTTTGTTCTCTTTTCAAGATATACATTCGTTAATACCTTTACAAAATTGTCCTTGTGTTAATTATTTTGAGGAATTTTCTTGAGATTTCTCTTCTTTCGCTTAATGACTCCATTGCCTGATGAAGAGCTAGAACTTCGTGTGTTTGGATTGTCAAATTCTTTGAATACTGAGTAGTAAATGAACATAAAGTCCTCTCTCTTCAGAGATGGAACAATATTGATCTGTTTTGATTTTTGAGCTCGATTCTTTAAAATCAAATTTTGTAATTCGTTCACATGATTCACAATGGACATGTCATCAAAGCCGATCAACATGGCAAGTTTTAAAAAATCATTTCTCTTGTTTGAATAATAACCTAAATCAAGATCTTCATGTTGTGACCATTGCTCAAAATCATTATAATAATCGGATTCCTCCTCTTCTGACATGCCTTCTAAGAGATTTGAATGAGATCCATTCAACTTTTGATCTGTTGATAAAATACTGTTGGATGAAGTGTTGTGATTCGAATTGGAGGATAAAAGAGAACCTCTAATTCCAGACTTATTGGGACTCGAGTGGTTATGATGATAGGTTTGAAATTGAGAATCTTCGATTTGTTGCATTTGGCTATCTCCACCACAAAACACATCATAAACAAATCCACCAAATTGATATAAAAATTTTGTTAATAATTTTCCTTCTCGACACACAAACAAGCATAAAAACATATAAACACTCTCAACGGTAATGGTTCCTTTTCCTTTCACATCTAAAATGTCAAATAAATCTAATAATTGATATTCATCAAATGACAAAATGTAATAGTCATCATCATTTTCGAGATCACTGTTGCCACTTGTCATGTCAAGGACATCATTACCAGTGGAAGTGGAAGGTTGGTGGTGATTAATCATGCCATTGTTGTTGTTGTGGTGATGATGATGAAGGTTGGATGATGTCAAAGGTGTTGTTGATGTGGTTGTCATTGACGAGGATAATGAATGTACTCCATTTGGTATTGCTGTTGTTGTGATAGTGGTGGTGGTGGTGACTGGATGACTTGTCGGAGCGCCATTTGGAGGTGTGACATGATGATGGGGAGAGACATTATTCAATGTTGATGAGTCACGATGAATGTTGGAACCTGTTGAATATTGTTGTTGTTGTTGTTGTGTGGATGGTGTGGATTTTAGTAGGGTGGATGAAGTGATGGAATTATTATGGTGATTCATCACTTGATGAAGAATACCACCATTCTGATGACTCTGATTAAAAGATTGTTGTGGAATGGGTGGCGATGATATTATTGCATGATGATTCACACTATTACTAGTGGTAGTAGTGGGAGTAGTAGCCATGACTGAATTTGGTCTCAAATCATTCATCATGGCCACAAATGTATATTCACTGATGGATAATTGTTGAAATCGTTTTCTCACAATAGGAAATGTTGAAGTTGCTGTTCGATGTGAAACTCGTCCACTGTTACTATTAGAACCACTGCCACTACCACCTCCATCATTATCAGAGGAGGTTGGTGAACGAGGAGAATTCGAGCTCACCATATTCTTGATGTAGTTTTGAATAAATTCAAAGAATGAAGTATATCCTTGTTCGGAAGTCATGATGGAATACAAAGCAACACATCCTTCATGGTAATCATCTTTGTTTTTGGGGTTAAGAAGAAGTTTTAAAAATTGTGTTTGTTTGGTGGGTTCGAGTTTGGATGAATAGATTTTGAGAAAGATGTTCTTGAGCATTTTTTTATTTTGTGGTTTTTTGAATCATGTGACAAGTGACATGTTGGACGAATTGGTTACCTAAAGTCATCTTTTAAATGCCAATACTTATCACGATCACATGATTCATTAAGGATAAGTGCAATTACATCATGTGAAAGTCACACGGTCGATCTGTTTGCAACCTTTGGAGCAGAAAGAGACTCTTTCATTTAAAAGACAGTTTGGTCTAGTTCTTTGATGTCTGCAACTTTACTTCAAAACTAAATCATTTGAAAAATAACATTAAATTGTACATAAAACAAGTAACATGAAGAAAATCTGTTCTAGAATATTTTAAATTAAAAATCGAATGGGTTGTTGTTGGAAGGAGGTGGATTGCTGCTTGGTCTATTATTTTGAGTATTTCCAAATCCTGTCAAGCCGCTGAATGGATCTCTATTTGGTGGTGGAGAGTCTTGGAGATTTCTCTTTTGGGGTGGTTGATTTCCTCCCCATTGTGGTGGAGATTGACTACCCCATTGTGGTGGTTGATTCATTGAGGGTGCCTGATTTCCCCATTGTTGTTGATTTCCAACCCATTGTTGACCTCCCCATTGCTGATTTTGAGGTGGTTGGTTACCCCATTGCTGTTGTCCACCGCCCCATGGTTGGTTTTGAGGTTGATTTCCCCACTGATTTTGTTGTGGCATTCCTCCCCAAGGTTGATGTTGAGACTGACCTCCCCACTGTTGTTGCCCACCACCCCATGGCTGATTTTGAGGTGGTTGGTTGCCCCATTGTTGTTGTTGATTTCCTCCCCATTGTTGTTGTTGTTGTGGAGGTTGTGGATTGCTAAACCCAGCAAATAAATCATCAACATTAATAGTTGGTTTGGATGGTTGAGCACTTGTTGTTGTTTGAGATTGATTTGAAGGGAAGCCCCAGTTATCATCATTGCCAAAACTATTATTTTGAGTAGTATTTGATGGAGTTGAGAAGAAATTATCTAATCCTCCTGCATTGGTATTTGTACTTGGTTTTGTAGCAGTTTGAACTGGTTTTGGTTCATCAAACGAAAATAGATCCGTGGATTGTGGTTGTGGTTTCACAGGATTCGATCTTGTAACTTCAACTTTTTGTGGATTTGGAATAATATTTTCAATGGGTTGGACAGGCACTTCTTCAACAGATGATGATGGTTTGCTTGCTGACACACTTCCGCTAGCATCATACCATTGCTTTTTTACATAAGTTTTTTCAATAAAGTCCTTGATTCCTTTCTCATCAGTACTCTTTGGTTTTGGGAACTTGGTTGGATCCCATTTTGCTCTCCATGTGGCTTGAGCAACTTTGTTTCCGTGTGTTTCAAAAAACTCTACATCCTTGTCTTCAAAGTTAGTCATGGAAATACCTTTAGCCTTGAAGTTGAAATTACGGCTATCGGTTGTTAAAGTGTGATGATGAGTGTAATGATTTAATGAACAACAAGAGCATTCAGAAAATAATAAAAATACAAGCACAACCCATTCGATGAATTATCATTGGAAAAATAAGGAGAATAAGTGGTGATGATGATCAAAAACAAGCAATAGTTATCATCTCCCTGTATCGGTGATGTCATTACTTACTGTATTCCAGAGCAGAAGGTACAAACGAAAATTCCAAAGTCCATGATGACGTAAGGAGTTCCCTTTACAACGCAGTCCATACATTCCTTGTTATCGTTGAGGAGAGACAGCTTGCGAATGGTTTCCTGGTTCTTCTCTTGCTTTTTCTTGGCGCTCATTTTTTTTGTTGGTGTATTGTCACTTCCGACATCATCCCTTCCCAGCTGCAAGCGAAGAAATCGGAACCTGTGAAGTGGCACTGAGGTGGAAAATGTGGTTTACACTCTGAAAGTGTTATTGTTGTAAATCTATATTCTAACAACGATGGTTTGAACATTTTAACTACTATGATGGATAGACAAGATACATTAGGCATTGTAAAGTCCCAAACTCGGTTGACCTAAAGATGAAAAAATTTCGTTGAAAAAAAATAGCATAACAAGTACGTAATTTTCTCTCTCACTGTCGGTATTGACACTCTCAACACATAGATGGCCAAGTCAAAGAACCACACTGGACAACACGAAAGCAAGAAGAACCATAGAAATGGTATCAAGAAGCCAAGAAAGGAAAGAAAGTCCACAAGCAAGGGTATCTACCGTCCATGGAAGACTAACACCAAGTATGCCAAGAAGGGAACCCTCAAGGCTTTGAAGGAAAAGGCTGCTCAAAAACAAGAATAAATACATTAAACAACAAATTATTTAATAATATGGAAATGTTGCTTAAAGTGAATTCAATAGATCAGCATACATCTTTCTTTCCTCTTCCAAAAATTTCTCCAGCTCGGCCTGTTTTTGTTTCTTGGCTCTTTCCGCCCTGACACGAGACAATCTTTGTCTAACCATGCATTGAATCTTGACAGCGGCATCGTGCTGTTTCTTCAACTGAGAAGTGTCTCTCCTTATGGAAAATGCTCTCCACAGAGCTTGAATGTTAAGAGCAGCTGTTTCAAGTTTCAATTTCTTTCGTTCCTCTTTAGCTTTTTCATACTCCCTTCGTTCTTGTTCTAATTCTTGCTCAAACAATCGCTTCTTGGCTTGGGCCACAACGGAAGCTTTTTTTCTTGCCAAGAACGACCGTATTTGAGTTTGAATTTTGATAGCTGCGTCCGCTCTCTTCTTTTCAAGCTCTATATCTGTCTCATTAAGGGTGGATGAGGTTTCTTGTTCTTTCTCACATTGCTTTTGTGGTTCTTCTTCATCGTAGTTTGCGAGCATGTCATGATCGAAGGACAGTTCTCCAATAATGTCACCATCGTCAAATTCCTCTGTTTCTCTTTCCTTTTGCCTTCATTATGAAGCCGGAAGCTGGATTCTGCCAAAAACCTTCGAATGAATGCTTGGATATAAGTTATATATTTTTCTTTTTTCACACTGTCTACTTTTTTCTTTGCCAAGTGTATTCTAACCTGTGACTGGATCTTAACAGCGCTATTGTGTACTTTCTCTTGCTCCTTTCTAACCTCCTCAAGCAGTTGCATTCTTGCTTGACATCCTCGTACAACAGCTTGTATCATGAGAGAGGCATAAC